ATTTCCCAGATTTCCCCCCAGAATTCCCGGAATCCCCTTCCAGAATATCCCCAGAATTCCACTCAGGATCCCCCCCCAGAATAATTCCCAGAATTTCCAGATTTCCCGGAATTCCCAAATTTCCCGGAATTCCCAAATTTCCCGGAATTCTCAGATTTCCCCAGAATTCCCAAATTTCCCGGAATTCCCGGGATTCCCAGATTTTCCTGGAATCCCCTTCCAGAATATCCCCAGAAATCCCCCCAGGATCCCCCCCCAGAATAATTCCCGGATTTCCCAGAATAATTCCCGGGATCCCTCCCCAGAATTCCCAGAATAATTCCCGGGATTCCCGGATTCCCCACTGACGTCGTCGTAGCCCTTGGTGGCCGACTCCACGTAGGTGGATTTGTCCTTGAGGCTCAGGCGGGGAAGGAGCCCGGCCAGCGCCCGCCGCCGCTCCAGCTGGGGGGGACAAAAACACACAGGAAATTAAAATTATTATACAGAAAATAAAATTATTGCACAGGGAAATCAAATTATATACAGAAAATAAAATTATATACAGGGAAATTAAAATTATTATACAGGAAAATAAAATTATTGCACAGGGAAATTAAAATTATATACAGGGAAATTAAAATTATACACGGGAAAATCAAATTGTTATACAGGGAAATTCAAATTGTTATACAGGGAAAATTAAATTATTGCGCAGGGAAAATCAAATTATTATACAGGGAAATAAAATTGTACACGGGAAAATCAAATTATTGCACAGGGAAATTAAAATTATATACAGGGAAATCAAATTATATACAGGAAAAATTAAAATTATTATACAGGGAAAATTAAAATTATTATACAGGAAAATAAAATTATTATACAGGGAAATTAAATTATATACAGGGAAATCAAATTGTTGTACAGGGAAATTCAAATTGTTGTACAGGGAAATTCAAATTGTTACACAGGGAAATTCAAATTATTATACAGGGAAAATTCAAATTATATACAGGGAAATTAAAATTATATACAGGGAAAATTAAAATTATATACAGGGAAAATTAAAATTATTATACAGGGAAATTAAAATTATTATACAGAAAATAAAATTATACAGGGGAAAATTAAATTATATATAGGGAAAATCAAATTATTGCACAGGGAAATTAAATTATACCGGGGAAAATTAAATTATATACAGGGAAAATCAAATTATTGCACAGGGAAATTAAAATTATATACAGGGAAATTAAAATTATTATACAGAAAATAAAATTATACAGGGGAAAATTAAATTATATACAGGGAAGTTAAAATTATATACAGGGAAATTAAATTATATGCAGGGAAAATCAAATTATTGCACAGGGAAATTAAATTATATATAGGGAAAATCAAATTATTGCACAGGGAAAATCAAATTATATACAGGGAAAATTAAAATTATTATACAGGGAAATCAAATTATTATACAGGGAAATAAAATTATATACAGGGAAATTAAATTATACACGGGAAAATCAAATTATATACAGGGAAAATTAAAATTATACACGGGAAAATAAAATTATATACAGGGAAATTAAATTATTATACAGAAAATAAAATTATACAGGGGAAAATTAAATTATATACAGGGAAAATTAAAATTATATACAGGGAAAATTAAAATTATTATACAGAAAATAAAATTATACAGGGGGAAATCAAATTATATACAGGGAAAATTAAAATTATATACAGGGAAATTAAATTATATACAGGGAAAATTAAAATTATACAGGGAAAATCAAATTATCCATGTAAAAATAACAAATTATACAGGGAAAATCAAATTATATACAGGGAAAATTAAAATTATACACGGGAAATCAAATTATTGCACAGGGAAATTAAATTGTTATACAGGGAAAATTAAATTATTGCACAGGGAAATAAAATTATACACGGGAAAATCAAATTATATACAGGGAAAATTAAAATTATATACAGGGAAATTAAATTATATACAGGGAAAATTAAAATTATATACAGGGAAAATCAAATTGTTATACAGGGAAATTCAAATTGTTATACAGGGAAAATGAAAATTATATATGGGAAAATCAAATTATTGCACAGGGAAAATAAATTATACACGGGAAAATCAAATTATATACAGGGAAATTAAATTATATACAGGGAAAAATAAAATTATATACAGGGAAAATCAAATTGTTATACAGGGAAATAAGAGATTATTATACAGGGAAAATCAAATTGTTATATAGGGAAATTCAAATTATACAGGGGGAAAACACCGGGAAAATTAAAATTATACATGGAGAAAAATTCAAATTATCCATGGGGGAAAATTCAAATTATCCAGGGGAAAAAAACCAAATTATCCATGGGGAAAATTCAAATTATCCATGGGGAAAATTCAAATTATCCATGGGGAAAATTCAAATTATCCATGGGGAAAATTCAAATTATCCATGGGGGAAAATTCAAATTATCCATGGGGGAAAATTCAAATTAT